TACATTATACGAAGTTATACTATATATATATAGAAAACTCTTCCGTAATTATTAAAAGACTATCTACAATTTAATGCTGTAAAAAATATTATATTTATAACTTTACGAAAATGTTTGCAAATAATTCATAAAACTTTTAGCACAATATTTATCCAATATAAGATATAAAAAATAAGACGTCGATTCTTTTAGTTATACTAGATATTAACATATTGTTGATTTCTCATCCAACTATATAAATTGTTAAAACAATATTAGCTTACTATATACATAACAATAATTAAAAAAATTTAGGTTTAATATCATGTTAAAGCTGAGATATGGCATTGTTAAATATTATATTGCGCAGCTATATCAAACTTAACATATATAAAACTTAAGTATCGTAAAAGTTAAGAATTTTCCCTAAATATATTTACATATCTGACACCATGCATAAATAAATTTGACATACAAGTTTCACCTGACACTAAAGTAGCAAGTAATGACATTTGCATGTGGAGGGAATAAGTTCAGAATGGAATTCAATGGCTCTGATATTCCTTTAAACTACTTCGCGAATTTGTAAGAGAAAATAAGGAGAAGAAAATGTTGTACGAAGTGTGTACTCCTTAAGCTTACCTTCTTGATGGTAGGTTTGTGTTGATATTGGAAAAAGTGCTTTGACAGCAGACACAAATCCTTCCAGACATTCGCTCATCCTCTGGCCTAATGATACAGTCTGATCTATGACTCTTATTTTGATAACGCTTGCGTTTTTTTCTAAATTTTATTATATATTGCTATTTTAAAATATTCCTGCCACTTTTATACATACTTTGGAAATGTCTTTATCACACACTTTCTTCTTATACACAAAACTTCATCATAATAATTGTAATCCTGTGTGTGATCATGTGATAATAGACTCATATTCGTAATGTAATACACGAGTTTACGAAAATTCTCAAAATTGAAGATTACAAAGCTCATAATTATACATAACAAAGAATTTAAATGTATTATACTTTTTATATACTGTATCATATATTTTCAAAAATTAATTATATAACTTTACGAATTAGCCAAAGTTATAAATAGAGATATAACAAAAAAAGTGTACACATGTGTAAATATAAAAATAAATTTCATAAATATAATTTCATAAAGAGCTTCTTGTTGGGATTTATGTAAGCTACCTAGCTATACAATCTGTTCTTTCTTCTTCTTTATATACATTCTTAAGAAAATTACCTATCAAATCAAATTACCTATCATTTACACATCTATTGTTCCTTTGTTACAGTATTGAGTACAAAAAAATTAGATACAAGATACATACCATCTTTTAAACTGACATAATTAACACGATTTAAATGTAATAACCATGCTAGTATGTAAAAATTTTGAAAAATTTATTGCCTAATATTGTAATATTACTAATTATTCATAGAATACATAAATTTGCCAATTTCACTTGTTTCTTTCAAGGTTGAATTTTAAGTCAGAGCTGTCTAGAGTTAGACGCTCATGTTCGTTTTTTCCCTGTTTATTCGCTTATATCACATCACAACTTGAGCAATTCTAATTTGAATTATATCCTTTGTCGCTAACAAACTTAAAAAAAAATAAAATAAAATAAATACACAATACATAAAATATTTATTACATATAAAAAAATAAACATAAATTTTTTATACATAACAAATATGAATCATATATGTCAAATATTTAATGATTTTATTATCAGTCTTCTTTTTTCTTTGTCAACATAATCAATATAAAGCAATCTTAAAACAAAATTGTATTTTCACGCAAATCACACATCACATCATCTTGCAATCGATAATATTGTATAGAAAAATGTGCACTTACCTCCTCTTCCTCGTGATGTGGATGGATGACTAGTGATCGATGTCACACTCGATGAAGTTACTAAGTTGTTGTAGGTACTTGTTTTCCGGCTACCGTATCCGCTGGACAACGATAGATCGTAACTGCTAGTTCCCTGTGTCAATGCTTGTGGATTTTGTGGTGTACGAGAGCGAGTCCGTGATGCCACACAATCGGTAGGTGTTAAATTTAACTCCGCCAAATTCGTCCTTGCTGCACTACGCACCCTTGTACCGCTACCACTACCGCTATAGTTGGCTTGATGAATCTTATGTTGTGATCTCCAGTCGGAATCTGCTGTGACAATATTTAAATCATTACTAATTGTGACATGTCATTAAATATTTGTTATCTAATAAAGAGAGAAGCTACGTTGGAAAAATAAATGAAACTGCATAATAGCTCGAAAAAAAAGAGCTTCAACACAATTTAATTACACACCATTATACAACAATAAATAAAAATGAATTAAAAATATATGATTTATAAAAAGGAAAAGCAAACATCATATTATATTTAAGTGTTAATTTTAGTTGTGTAATTTAGATATGTTAATATATAATTACCTGGATAAGATTCTAAGCCAGTGCCATGATTTCTTCGTTCACCTCTGATTCTACCCTCTCCCTTGGAAGAATCAATCGAATGTGTGTGCGCTGTGTTACCGTCAACTTGAGATGCTGATTCACCAGTGGCCTGTCTACGTCTCTTCTCTTCAACCGTATCTGAGATTGCACCAGTACTTTGTCGTTTTCTATAGCCACTCGAGCCACTACTAGAGCTTTTCCCCTTAGGTTTAGAGGTGTCTGCTGAAGCACTGGCCTTCTCTACAGACCCCCCTGATGATGACTGATCTTGTTGATCTGCCATAGATTAATCGACTCATGCCACTATTCTGTCTGTAAAAAGAACAAAGAATAAAAACATGATTTTTATTATGTAATGTTATAATTTGCTTTGTTTTAATACGATAATAATTATAACATGCAACATAGTTTTATGTTAATGTATATAAATGTACCATAAAAAGATTAAATGTTTTTGAAAATAATTTTGAGTATATATTTCAAAAAGTTTTTAATAACTTGATAAATTGACACTATTTTTTCACCGATTTGATGCTTTATATTTTTCACTATTTTTATAAATATATCAATAAAATAATTTCTGCAAATAAATTTGGATACAATAATTAAACGTCTACTTTCTTAATAAATCCTTTTTCGATGTATTTTAAAACAAAGTAGTGTATTTCCAAAAATAAAAACTGGAAAAGCAAGATGGATTAAGTATTAAGTCAAAGTTACTGTAAATTACCATCTAAGCAACATTTTGATCTTTATGTGCAATGATGAAAAAAAAAACACAAAAAGGAATAAATACGCATAAAAATCAGATACAAGTCACATCAGTCACATCGCGACCGCAGCATACAAGTTTCCTTATTGTAACCTTCTTTGTTGGAGGAAAACATTAACAACGCTATGGCTTACAAGGCGAGCGTTTATTTTCGATTATCGTTCACACTCAAAAGCTAAGTCGCACGATCGCGGATACACTGAAAGCCTATTTCTTGCGTGCGACGGTCAGGTGTTACATTTAAATGAGCACACAAAAGATTTTAAATGCTCGTTGTCGTCATCGAAGTCGCTCGGCGATCTCTGCGCTGCTACAATGTTGCGTTACACGGAGAATATAGACTGGGCAGCAGCAGCAGCAGCAGCAGCAGCAGCACGACGCTGGCAGCGATATCGATAGCGCGATTTCTAATAAAAAAAAATTCATGCCTCGACGCAAGCCATATGCGCTCGGATAACAAGAGCGTGACTAAATAAAACAGTCGGAGCGCGATACGCAATTAATGTTTCCCCCGCACGACGGCGAAGGAGATAGTAACGAACCGAGAATCATAACAAACACGACTGCTTGCTTGCTGGCTGCCTGGCTTGCTCGTCCGTCCGATATCACTGGCTAACGCAGAATTGTGCCGTTGACTTCACGGCGGGGATCCCTTCCCCTTTCACGACGAGTCCGGCGGAGAGATTACTCAGACGCGACAAAGGCACGAGTCAGCAGCGGTGAATCCGCGGGCGAACGGACCTTTCAAGTGAAGGCAGACTCGAATTTACAGCGTAACAAAGACTCGCGGAGCGAGCGAGCGAGCGTGCGAGCCACCATTTGCTCGCGATCGAGTAATGGAGGACGGGTTTCTCTCTTTGTCCCACTCTCCGATCCGCACGCACTCTCCTCTCTCGCTCTCCGTGACCTCAGGTTGAAGTCCTCCGAAAAAGAGAAGCCCCCTTCTTCGTTGCCCTTATCCCTACACCCTCTCTCGCCCGTCTCTCTACCCGTGTCTCTTACTCCCACTCGTTTATCCACCCCACACACCACCCAATGCTTCCGTCAGAAAAAAGGCCTCTTTGAAAAGTGGTCAAAGTGTGCCTTTACCTGAATGTGGGTGAAGCATGCCCAGGGCATCGCGACCATTGGACCTTTCCTATCCTCTCTCGATGTGGTAGAACACGAAGGCGAGAAAACGCTTCCGTCGTCTTATCGTCGCATGCGGACGCACATGTACGCACGCAGCGTACCACATTCACATACGCGCGCACACGAGAAAAAGGGAACGCGAAGAGCGAGAGAGCGTTCGTGGCTATTCGGCACACGGCGCAAAGAGCGAACAAAACGTATACACACTACTGATCAACAAACAAGAAGAAACAACGCACCGAACAAACCGAGACGCACTGGAGACGAGTCGGCGGAATGCGACAGCGACTCTCAGGGGCTCGGGTTGATTAGGGATTGGGAGATCGGAGGACGCTCCGCCCCCGTAGCCAATGTCACACGCCAGCGAGCGAGGTTCACGCACGCAACAAGCAGGCAGATAGGAAGGTAGGTAGGTAGGTAGGTAGACGGACGGACACGCACACGCGCATGCACGGCAAGTTTAGCGGAAGCCGTTTGCTGTGTTCGGAAACCTGCCGCCAGTGTTTAAGAGGAAAACTTCACCACGCGGCACTTTTCTGCGCATGCGGAAACCTGTGCGACCGATCACATGACAGTCTCGCAGACTCGTACTCAAGCGCTCGTTATAGCAGCAGTTTGATAAATCACATAAATTTTTTAGTTAAAAAAAATTTTTTTTTTTTTATTATTTATTCTGGAAATGTGTAAAAAATATAGCAAATGTTTTGTTAAACGTATATTATTATTGTACAAAATAATTATATTGTAAAAAATTTCTTAATTTTAATAAAGATACGATTGGATATATTGTTGTCATTTATTTTAAAATTCTTCAAACTTCTAGTGATTCAATTTAACTGCACTGAGAGGAGTCTTAAATGCAAACTAACGAATAAAAGCTATTTTTTTTTTGTGACGATATTATTTATCGCGCATGCATAAGACTTCTTTCTTAATCTGGAAACACTGCTAGCCGCTACTGCGCAAAAAACAGCGACTGCTCGGCGCGAACGGCCATCTTCTTGGCCATTTTTTAAATCTTTATTTTTATTATAGCAAGCAAGAACCGGCCCCGCGCGATGTCGTACACGCTTATATAAATTGAGCTTTTCTGAGATAAGCAGAGTGGCGAGTGTTACGATTGTGTCATGCGCCGGTCACATAACACTATTCTTTTTACGTGCAATCGATTGATCGAATTCTCCGTTACGGAACATTGTACGTGTAAAAAAAATTATATATGTGCAACATGCATCTTCCGCGACCGTACCGTTTATATAACGTGCATTTATGTATTTGCCCTGACGTGCGCATTATCGCCAACGGAAATTGATGACGGTTGCGAGAAACAGTTTTGTCATCGTTCACCTTTAAGGTGTCGAGTAAAACGAACCAACAACTCGTTATCTATTAGTGTTTTCGAGTAAACGGATTTTTATCCATTCCGGATCAATTACTCACTATATTTTACTATGAATTTAATTAAATCTTTTATTGGCAGAGATGATGCAATGACGTCATTAATCAACCTTGGATCCATCAAAATCCGTTCACTCGAAAACGCTATATCACTATTTACTCGATGATATGACACGAAATAATACAGCTCTCGTAAAACTGTGTTGCTTGGAATTTTTTATAAAATTATTTGATATTCAAACCACTGATTTCACGCAACAGTCGCATAATACATGTGACATGTCGCAATTGATAAAAAGTATGGAAAAATGAGCAAAAAGTGCTTACACATCTCGGACGAAGAAATCTTATCTATCATCTTCGGCGACCGTGTATTTCGCACACTGCTGTTGCAAAGCGATGCAACGCGTTTACACAAATGTGTTCATTCCTTTCAAGGTTGACTGATTGTACGTGTATTTCGGACCGATCGAAATATGCGCCACTGCTGCGACGGTGTGAAATGAATTTACGGGAGACGCGTCGCAATTAGGGGGAACGCCAAGGCTTGACGCGTCGCGTTGCATTACGTCAGGATGTGAAACGACAACGAGAGCAAAGACTCCTCGTGATGTCGTAACAGATGTCAAATTTTGGCTGTCGTAGCTACGATCTCGGCGAGCAGCTACGATTGGCTGAAAGAGGCAACTGACAGCAGCCAATTGACCATTGATAAACGGCCGCGGACAGGTAATTCGGGCGATGTCAAAACAGCCTGCCTGGGGATCAGCTGTCTGTCAAATGGTCGATCGCGTTTTCGTTTATACACAGCACGCTATAATATAATGAATCCACGGCCTTTCGGCCAGCGAGGATAATGCCCTTACTTACCGCAAAAAGGGAGCTCCTCCCTGGAAGTCGGATTCCAGTTACGCAATGCGATGCGCGAGGGGGACACGTGAAAATACAGAGTGAGCTGTCAAGTCGATCCGTGTGCGTCGTCTGCTACGAGATATCTCGACCGAGGTGATTACAGACGACGCAGGTGTTCCAACGAATTCGAGAGTGCGTGCGACGATCATTAGGGTATATCCAGACAACTTGCACAAATCACGAAATATGTACAAAGCCTGCATCAGACTATGGCTGCGTTCCGTAAAGAGCATATGCGCGCATGTATCTATAGTATACGTGTATCTATAGTAGTATACATGTATCTATAGTATACGTTACGTATACTGTAGATACATGCGCGCATATGCTTTTTACGGTAACGCAGCCTATGACTACGGTTGCGTTCCGAAATTCACTGCCAGTACTGAAAATCTACAATATACGTGACGTAAACTATAGATTTTCAGTATTGGCAGTAAATTTTGGAACACAGCCTACGTTTACACGTCAACCTTAATCGGATTTAGTAATATCCGTAGTTATGAAACTGGCCAATCACAGTTATTCCATTTTCTCAGAGAAATAGCTGTGATTGGCCAGTTTCATAACTACGGATATTACTAAACCCGATTAAGGTTGATGTGTAAACGTAGGCTGTGTTCCAAAATTCACTGCCAGTCACAGATGTCTATACTAGTACTAAATCGCTAATAGCGTTTTCGATTATACAGGATTTGAACGACCCAAGATTGGTTAATGACGTCATTGCAACCTCTCCACCAATGAAAGACTTGCATTTATAGTAAAATAGTGATTGATCAACCCTAGATCGTTCAAACCCCGTTTATTCGAAAACGCTATAACTTTGTCAAAAGAGCTGAGGCCGGCAGGATTTCCGGTTTCGGCCATGACACCCTACAACAAAATGGCGACAATGCGTGTGTATGTGTATAGGCCCTCACACACAAAATGACATAACTGCATA